CATACCGCCACCTACTGTATCGGAGTATTTAGCTTGAGCTATGTGACGCTACTTTACATTACATGTAAATAAATGAAAATAACAAAATAAAAATAAAACTATTAAATCTAAAACATATATCTAAATCCTATTATATAACCTTACATCTTTCAAATATGTTATAACAGCTTTCTTTGTTTTCTTTAGTCCCTCAACTAGTTGTTCCCAGTAAACCCTAAATGTTCCATTTCCTCCTTGCCTCACTTATCTTTTGATTTAGCCTTATCCTCTCTTCCCCGTATTTTTTACAATGTAACATTATGTTTTCAACATTTACGTTCCATACATTCATCTGTTTCTTTTTTACTTAACAAAAACAATGATTTATTTAACCCTGTAGGCCTATGGTCGAACCTCAGTCTAGTTAAAACTCTAGTCTCAGTCTAGTCTCCTCCCTTCTATTTTTTTCTATTTACACATGCGCATTTATAGATTTCTATATACTGTAGTATTTCCTTCCACTATTATCCCTGTCCCATCTGTCGGATGCACACCCTCCGGTCCCCCTTTTTGAAAATGGGAACCACCACACCGGTCTGCCGTCCCAGATTTCCACGCGACATTGAAAAGGTGTGTCAGCCAAGACAGCCCAACAATGTCCAGAGCCTTTAGCATCTCAGGGCGAAGCCACCCAATACCTGTCAGATGCTTCCAGAGACCCCTGTGCTAACCAAACAAGAAAGGCCTCCTTCTTCAGCCTGACGGCTTCCTTCACCACTGGTGTCCACCAGCGGGTTCTAAGGTTGCCGCCACGACAGGCACCGGCGGTCTTCTGGCCGCAACTCCTAGCCGCAGCTTCTACAATGGAGGCTTTGAACATGGACCACTCGGACTCCATGTCCCCAACCTCCCCCGGGATGAGGTAGAAGTTCTTCCGGAGGTGGGAGTTGAAGATCCCATGGACAGGGGCCTACACGTTTGGGTTTGCCAGGTCTGTCTTCCCCACCATCTGATCCAACTCACCACCAGGTGGTGATCAGTTGACAGCTCTGCTCCTCTCTTTACCCGAGTGTCCAGAACATACGGCCACAGACAAAACAACTACAAAGTCGATCATCGATCTTTGGTCTAGGGTGTTCTGGTACCAGGTACACTTATGAACATCCCTATGCTTGAATATGGTGTTTGTTATGGCCAATCCAGAGGTCCAACAACAAAACACCACTCGGGTTCAGATCGGGCAGGCCGTTCCTCCCAATCACTCCCCTCCAGGTGTCCCCGTTGTCGCCCACGTGAGCATTGAAGTCCCCCAGTAGAACTACAGGTGGAACCCCTTCCAGGACCCCACCCAGAGACTCCAAGAAGGCCGTGTACTCTGAGCTGCTGTTGGGTGCATATTCACATTCAACAGTCAGAGCCTTCCTCTCTGCAACCTGAAGTCGCAGTTGCCCCCGACAACACAGCTCCCGGGTTCACCGGGACACGCAAACTCCTCCACCACGTTAAGGTGGCGATTCTTGGAGGAGTACATTCACTGTTGGTATACATATTCCATACATATCTTCTTCATCTTCTTCAGGATCCATCTGCATACATATTGAGTGATCTTTTGTCTGCCCCCCACTCTCCTCCAACTATTGCTCTCATTAAATTTATAATTTTCTCACATTTTGATTCTACTTTTTGAATATGTATTTTCCATGTACCCTTTTGATCTAACCAAATACCCAGATATTTGAAATGATCTACTTCCATATTCTGGCCATATAACCTAGAATCAAGTTTGTCTATCCTTTCTTTCTGGTAAATAACACATAACAGGATATACTTGGAGAAAGCTTAAAGCCCCAATTATATGACCATTGTTCGACTTTTCTTATTGCTTCCTTGTTTTTGTTTTTTGTTTTCAGATTTTATTTTTGGGCTTTTTGTGCCTTCAATTGAGAGACAGGACACTGGATAGATCCAGAAACCAGGGAGAGAGAGTAGGGAACAACAAGCAGGACACATTCCGGACCTGAACCCAGGCCGCCCGCCTCCACATGCGCACCAACCACTTCCTTGTTTTTCCTATCACGCTTGGATCTAGTCCTCTAGCCCAGCATTACAAGTTTGACTTCTGTTGATTGTTTTCATCTTGAAATGGACAAGGTCTAATTTGAAGGAGTGGGGGACGACAACAGACAGTATCTGTCATACAGTAAGTGCTGCCGACAATTTTGGAGCCCTGTCACCCCCAGTCTATATGATAACCTTTGGAGACTGGAAAGTCCCAAAAAAGTAGAAAAAAAATATATAGCCTATATATATACATATATATATAAATATATATATCTTGTGCGCAGAAGATATTAACTTCTGCAATATTTTGTATTTTGGGGGCTCTTTAGTAGGCTAGGCTTACCCCCAATCAGTAGGTCTGTTCCAAAGGTGTGCAGGGGCATTCAAGACATTTTGCCACATATTTTTCAATACTATAGTTTACATCTCATAATTTAACTTTTTCTTGGTCAAAGTAATTTTTAAGATGTATTTTTGGGCTTTTTGCACCTTTAGTGGAGAGATAGGACAGTGGATAGGGTTGGATATCAGGAAGAGAGAGTAGGGAATGACATGCAGGAAAGACGCCACAGGCTGGATTTGAACCTGGGCCGCCCAATTGGAGGACTACAGCCTCCATACATGGGGTGCGCGTACTAACCACTGTGCCACCAGCGCCCCCTGTCAAAGTCATTTTTATCAACAAAAAATAAATTATCCTCATAATAACTTACCATGACCTACAAAAGAATACAAGATTGTCAGATGTGTCATTTTTAGTGTCTTTCACTGCTTTTATGGCTGTCAGGCAAGGCAATTAACAGCCCAATCACCATGAGTGTCTTTGTTTACAATTACCTCAGCAAAGAGTCATGATGAAGGGCTGGGGCTCGAAACATCACATATAATGATATACTTCATTAAATGTGATTTGGAGCAACTTCTGGTGTGCACACTCAGTTTTCCTTTTGTAAAGAGTCATGGTGACTCGTAAATTTAACTGCTCAAGGTGTGATGAGATTTTTCTGCACAGAAAACAACTTAGCCATGTATAGGACAAGATCAGCAAGAGATCAACACAAACTCAAAGTTTGTCATTTAAGATGAAACACATGATTAACCTATTGGCCTATACAAAACAATGTCACTGTACTTCAGTCTGCACTACAATTGCAAAGGAAAGTAGAAAAAAGGAAAGAAAAAACCTTGTGACTGATAGATAGTTTGCTTCTCTCGAAAACAACAAAGTTCTTTTTGCTGACTCATCAGAGTTTATAAAGCTCAACACGGTTGAGTGACCAGTCATGCATGTGTTTTCTAAACACTGTGGCGACCTCCACCTTTCCATGACAAATATTTTCCCCTTCATCGTCTAATCGAGACTGTGGCAGATGAGTTACACACCAAACACAACAATCCCAACATGCTGTGTGAAAACAAAACATTGCTCAAGAGACTCAAAGAAAGAGACAGAAAAAAATGAACTGTGTCACTGTGTCGTGAGCACTCCCACAAAAATTAGAAAGTAAATAAGAGGGTTATAAATGGGTGGACCAATACATAGTTTGCACATAACATGAATTCAGTTATAAAATTTGAAGTGCAAACATAGGCCTACACATTAACAGCATTATAACATTCTTGTGCTTTGGATAGAGTGCCTTTCTCTTCATTCAGGCTGATCATGTGAGGCCTGCTGGTTGGCTCTATGACTGACTTGCTTTCTTACTGCCTCTTTTTTATTGCAGTTAGTGAACAGGCTGGTCATATGTTGAGGTCACTAAGAAGCAGTTTACACACTCACCCCGAGGCCTTAAGGTTAAAAGCAGAGGGCAGCTAGTTACTGGGAGGAAGAATAGAGACACACGATGTTTTCACAATGTTGGTTTTCTGTCCATTTGGTGTTTGTTTGTTTTTCTTTTTCCCAACCTCTAAATTTGTCTTTCCCTTTCTTTTTGGGTATGTATCCTTTTCTGGCAAACATTTTAGGATAAGATTTTTAATTGAAACCAATAGGACATGTATTTGATACATTTTTTGGTCAACTTTTGGCCATGTCAGGTTTTCAGCCAAAGCCAAGATTTGTTTAAGCTGAACAAGTCCTGAGCATACAAATTGCTCCCCTTAAAGTAACTGAATATTTTTTCGGGACTTCAGGGGCTCTGTAACAACCCCCGAAGGTCTGTTTCAAAAGTGAGCTGGGGCTTTCAAGACATTTGGCCACATATTTTTTCCACGTTACCAGCCTAGGATTACTAGTTGTGCAGACATTTGTCATAATTGTCATATTGCCGGTATTAGCCCGTTCTTTAACGGCAATGAATCAATCCAGATTTAATTAAAACTACAATACCTAATAGTTTACATCTCAGCATCAACATTGTTCTTGTTCAAAGTAATTTGTATTACTTCAAAACTAGATTAACATTATAACTTACCCCAAACATATTTTTAATATTCTAGTTTGCCTAATAATCTTAAAATTAGGCCTATTGCAAAACTCACATCAACACCAGATAGGTGAAAAAGTTAACTTTTTACAACTTAGTTCAGTATTTGGTTGTGGTTATGTGTTGTGTATTTATTGGTTTAATTTGATTAAATCAAATGCTTTAGTTTTGTATTTCATCTTTCCAAGCCCTTGTTTTCTTATAGCTTTTAAGTTCTCTCTGAAGATAACTTCCTGGTTTAGGACAGTGCTCCTAAGAACAAGTGTACTTGAATGCATCATGGTCTTCCAAGATTTTGCAATCTAGACTATACCAAATTGGACTTTTTAATGGGGTAGGTCCAATGTTTTCTCTTTTTTCATTTTGTTTCAAACCAGCCATGAAAAACCCAACATTAGCTTGATGAATTGTTATATAGCACTTAATTTAAATCCCTGAATTGAAAGATTGATGTTTCAATTATTTTTGATTGCAGCAATAATCTTTTTAATTTTACCCGTGCAAGTCGCAATATGGCTTAACCAGGAAGTATTTAGAGATCGTTTGTGGCACATGGTATCTTTGTTTGTCAGCTGACACCCCCCTTTCAGTGAGTTTTACTTAGTATTATAATGATGCCATTTTTGATGTATGTTAATGCTAAGACATGGTAAAACAAAAGGACTTTGAATTAAGTTTCTTCAAGAAACTTTCTTGACTGTTGTGATTACTTTGGTTCTCCAAATCTCTAAGAAATGTGGGTCGAATACATCTTGATAAACAGGATTTTGAATATATTCTGTAACAGCCTATCAAATTGCAAGACTGTAGTCTCGAATTGTTAAAATAATTCACAAATAAAAATTGTTCTGGAAGTTCTCAATTAATTTCCAGAGGGAAGTTATTAAGAGGTACTGATTATGAAGCAAGTTGAGATATGGCTTTTGGTTCAAAGAATTGTGGGACTTTAGGCCTGACATAAGACAGTCATTAGTCAACACTTAGCATGTGTATTATTTGTAAGATGAACGTTGTCCAATGTTGTTAATACTGAGGCGTAGCCACTTTCCTAACATCAACGGCAGCCATCGTGGTTCATTACAAAAATGCCTCAACTGCAAAACCTGAATTTGCTAATTAAACTTGTGTACAACATTTATTTTGTATATTGTGGGGGTGATGAAAATGTAAAGTCTAATGCACACCTAAGCTAAACTTACTTCAATAGATCCTTTAGCCTCAGCAGCAGACAGAACCTTATGATTTCCTCTTTCTGATCAACTATCACCTGTTAGTTTGGATTCTGTTTTTTAAAGGAAAATCACGTATTGCTCTTTGGCTTGCAAACTGTACAAATGTTGACTAACTGATTTACAATGCAAGCAGCCCTATAGGGCTCAGACTATATAACATCCTTATAAATATATAAACATGTAAGTAATTCAAGGGTAAAATGTTTTCTAATTTCTGTCTTATTTTCTGTCTTTCTATTGCTGTAAGGGATGACAAACTTTATGTCTTCTGTTCCTGACGAGATGTTCTCCTTTGGGTTACCTGGATGAACCCTCCATCAATCATGTCCTGAGTCACTCATCGGCTCACTCTTTATTGACACTGTCACATCTTCACCATCACACAGGTAAAGTCCATTAAATCAAACTGGTACTAAATAAAGCTCCAAAGAGAACTTTTATCTTATTATATTATCAAATGCAGGATTTTCAGATTATGTTAAATATCACATTATATAGCCACATAAATATCAGGGTTGTCAACAAGACACATGTCATTAGGAAGTGATTACATTCCTTTAAAGGTTTAATATGCCATTTTTCACACTTAAATGTAACAGAAATCAAGTATATCCTCTGAAAATAACTGTGAGTCATGACTGTCTACAATGGCTGTAACACCCGAGTCCCACTGTCTGTGATGTTTTCCGAGCTTTCCTAGCCGTAGCTTCAGTTTGTTTACATCGCCTGGACAGCCGGCTGACTCCTCCCCTCGTGTATAAAAGTTGTTTAATTGAGGGACTAGAGAAAAGAAGAACAACATACTGTACTCACTGCTTAACTGTGTTTCTAGATCACGGTCATTTTGGGTAAATTTACATGCAGTGTGAAGATACGAGCATAGTAAATGATTTCATCCCTAATGATTTATCGCTAACATTAGCATGCTAGCACAACAATGCAGCGTGAGTTGTTTTGGTTTCATGCTGGTGCTCAAGGGTGACCTCTGCTGGATCAAAAAATCGCATATAAAGCCTTTAATATCCACAGGTGCTGTTTTTGCATGCATGTTTTTTGGGTTGGAATTTTAAATTTAATCTTGTAAGCCTCTGGGAGCCAGTGCAGAGATTTTAGCATGGGAGTGATGTGAGTCTTGGAGCCGGGAAAACCCAAAGGCCTTACTAGGTTCAAATGTAAATGTAGTTGTAAATATATCATCTGCATATCGAAGATGTGCAGTATTAAAACTTTTTATAATCTTTGCTAGGGGAAGCGGATAGAGGGAGACTAGCAAAGGTCCCAGGACCAAGCTGCTGAGAGACACCACAAGATAATGGAGAAGGGTCGGACATAAACTCACCAGACAGTGAAGCTCCTGTTAGTGAGATATGAAGAAAACCACTCCAATGCTTTATCTGATATTTCCACCCAGTCCGTAGTAGCATTGTGTTCTTAAAGTCAAAGGTGGAACTGAGATCAAGGAGTACTAAACAGTCACCTTCATCAGTAGACATTAAAATATCGTAAGAGTCCCTCAATAGAGCTATTTCAGGGGAACACCTTTTCCAGAGCCTTATCTGAAATGTATCATAAATGTTGTTACTCTACAACACAGCAGACAGTTGGTTGCCCATGACTTTATCTTAAACTTTGGAAATAATGGCAGTTTTTATATTTAGTCTTTAATTCAAAGGCAGTGCTGGATCTATAGATTAGATTTCTTTAAAATGGCCTGCATCATTGCATGTTTGAAGTAGGTGGGGACATAGGTGGTTAAACATCCAAGGGGCAATGAGACACCTTTGTTTTCCTGTTAAGGCAATCAGATCCTCCAAGCTCATAAGGTGAAAGCAGTCCAAGACAGTAGGGGAAGCAGAGAAGCTTGCAATAGGGAGGTTAGAATTTTGCTGCATGTTGGACCTAATAAGCATTACCTTGTCAACAAAGAAGGAGAGGAAGTCATTGCAGTCATCAGTTGTAAAGCATGGTAAGGTGGATGGTGGTGAACCAATATCGTTAATAGTGTCAAATAAAACCTTTGGATTTCTTCTTGAGAAGGACATTAAACTGGCAAAGTAAGCAGTTCTGGGTTCCTGTACCGTTTCATTAAAGAATGCAGCAGATCTTTGAGATAAAGGCGATGCACCTCTGTTTCAGTGGATTTCTAAAGCCGTTCAGACCTGCGATGTGCGCACAGTATCGGGTCCCAATAACTGCGCAGTCCTTGGGGCCCATATCCGATATTCCTTTGTCATGTCTCAGTTAAGAATAGGAAAGACAAATTCTCCCTTGAAAATAAGTCATTTAAAATTTGAGCCTTATTTGCTACAGAGCAGACATTAATCAAACCCATTTTGATAGAAGTCTGTGTTAACAGCACTGGAGCGTGCAATTTATACAGATCACTTGCCCACGATGGTGAAATTGACAGTCCTCCCCTTCATTCATGCTTCTTGTCCTCCAGGATATACGTAGTTAAAGAAACATCAATCTCATTTTTTCTGAACATCAAATAAAAATGTTTTTTTTTTTTCACGCTGTACATGTGGAGCCCTTCCTCACCCCCATAGTATTGAAGTAGATCCCCAGAGTGATGACCCAGCAACCTACAGACCAATTCCCCGACCCCTCATATCCTGCTGCATGCACAAAGGCCACTGGCCCGGCCAGGGGCAGGTGAAGCCCTCCATTACATAATGACAGAGGAAGTCATCCGTCAGTGTAGTGGAGTGGGATGGCACTCAACTATGTCCCTCTTTTTTCCTTGATTTGAGCTGTTGCTTGCAGCGTGTTTGACAGGGCAGTGAAACTAAAGTGTTTGTTTAGGCCTAAATCAGTTCTAGAGGGCAGGAAACAATCATGGAGGACTCAAATGTGTATGTGTGTCCATCCCTAATGATTTATTGTCACAAATGATCAGCCATAAATAAACAACAAGCAAGCCGCCAGTCTGTCCACACAAACAAACAAACAAACAAAAGGACACAGACACACATGCCATTAGTTAGAGTGACAGTAGGGTTTAGGATGATCAATCACAGTTACTCAGAGATCAGTGCACGCTTGTTTGGACTGCATTTGTTTGTCATATTAGTGCTTTGCGTGCATGTCTGCACGTCTGCTTGTGTTGATGTGTGTGAGCATGTGTTTTCGGTCTTTTTTATGTACGTGTTTGGTTGTTGCCAGTCTGCCTGCCTGTCATATGTGTGTGTTTCTGAGGGAGAAAGTGTGTGTGTGTGTGTGGGATGTAACCCAAGCCGGAGCGGCACAACACAGCAGCCTGTTCAAAGGGCCGTTTGTATTATTACAGCTTGTCCAGCTGCTCAGGACAGACAAACAAGACTTAGAGCTCTGTGCTGCAAAACACAGACCTCCCACCCCCATCACAGAAACCCCTGCGGCCCGGCCCGGCCCAGAATTGTGGCTCAAAAAAATGGACAAACAAACGCCTACAAACAGACAAACTGCAAGGCATAAAGGGGAGTTTTGTGCAGGAGAAATGCAGGATGCATTCCAATTCCAATCATCAAAAAGGAGTGTTTTCTTATTTTATTGTATTTCTGCTGTACTAAAAGAACAAGACTGAATGTCTTCCAAATTGTATTCCCAAATAGAATGATGCAAATATTATGTTCATTATTTAAAATAGATATGGTATTCTTGTGATACTTGTGTTAACATTTGTACAGTGGGCAGCAGAAGTCCCTCCTCATCCGCAGAATTTAAAGTGTGCATACATTTCCACACCACACTGTAATGAGTAATGTTACCTCCTGTAAAAATATTGAGTCTCCATCCAGTCTCCATTTGCTTTTCCAAATCTCACACACTACATTGAGCAATGATCCTAAAAACAAAATATTGCTTCATACACACAGTGATCTCCTTAGAAGGCTGATGAAAATTAATGCCTGTATTTCTAGTGGTGACTATATTTCTTGTACTCAGTTTGCACTTTGAACATTTCTCTCTCTCTATCTGGATATCTCCACCAAACGTATCGAAATGATTGTGATTAAGATCAGAGTAAGCTAACACTCCTGCTGCCTGACACCTCTCCCTCTATCTTTTTCACTTCAACTTGTAACATTCTTCCTCCCCTTCAACCTTGTCTCTTGTCTCTTGTCTCTTGTCTCTTGTCCTCCTCCTCCTCTCCTCTCCTCTCCTCTCCTCTCCTCTCCTCTCCTGCTCTCTCTCCTTCTCAGACTCAGGGTTCCTGTGTGCCTGTATGTAACATCAGTAAAGCTGTCAAGCAACCAGGCCAAGGTAAACAGCCCAGCACCGGGTTCAGGGGTGACGGGGGCCGAGATGTTTTTCCTCAGGAACCCAGGGACCCCCGGAGGCTTCTGGCTGGGGCCAGGGAGGGGCCGAGGGGGGGAAGATGATCCCCTCAGTTGCCCCCCACATGAACACACAACAACGGGTCTCTCTCATTTCTCTCTTTTACAGAATCTCATTGACAAATGTACGATAAATCATCAGCACTCACATACTCCCCTTACTCACATTTTGCTGCTTATATCATCCGAGTGTTGACATAGAAATATACACATGTATGCCTTAAAATATGTCCAAAAGATACAGTATGCAGAATGTCAGAGTTCCCAAATCAAAAATGTAATTAGATTTTGTTCCAACTCTCTGCTGCTCGTGGTTTTATGAGATACTTTAGGTGAACTTCTAATAGGATCTTGGCTTCTTGTTATTCTTGGGGGAATGTGGCAATCATTTATTTCACTTGAATAGGAAAAACTAGGAGGAACAAGAGGAGAAGGAGGAGTAGGGCTGTCCAAAAAGGAGAACATGGAAGAGAAAGAAATATAGCAAAGGGAGAGGGAGTTAAACGGTGAATATGGATGGATTGATAGAAGGATATTGGGGAGAAATGATATCTTTAACCCAGGCGTGACCCCTCTCAGCCCTAGCAAGCTGCTCCCTAAGAGGGAGGCAGACAGCCCGGAGAGGGAGAGCAAAGATAGGGTCCATCCAGAGGTTGCAAATCAGAGGCAGCACTAAAAACACAGCAAACTGGGAACATGAGAGACAGAAAAAAAAGGCAGTGAGCACTGGGAGTTGAAGAAGAGACTAAAAAAGAAAATAAAAAAAAAAGTGGAGAAGGATTTAATGGAGAAAGGAACAAGGTCAGGGGAGAAAAAGAAAGAAGGGAGGCAGAGGGCAAAATTGTTGAAAGAAAACTTGAGCCAGTCAAGCCAAGAAAAGCATGTAGAATTGAATTAGGGGAGGGGAGAGCCACTGAGCAAACCAACAGGAGAGGAAAGTAGGGGTGCAAGGAGGAAGAGGAGGACCATTACCCTTTGTACATCAGCCGTTACATCCCCTGGCGGCTGCCGTTGAGTGTGTGTATGTGTGTGTGTAAGGAGTGGGGGGATTCGAGATCATTTGGGAGGGGTAAAACGAAGAACAGATTAAGCAGGAAGATAGGTTAAGACCAGACTTTATTCCAGTCTACAGGCATGCATTTATAAGAATTTACTATCCGTCATGTCATCATTTACTTCCAATGAACTGCAACGCTTCACAAAACCTTTAATCTCCTCTTGCCCTTAAAAGCCTACCTGCGACTGGAGTCCTCTTCCTGTTCCTGTTTCCCAGCAGCCCTTAGTCATCCTGTTGCTGCAGCCTGTACCTCATCAATTTAGCACTACCACAATGGTCTGTGACAGGCCTGCCACACGGACAGCCTGTCCCTGCCAACCAGCCCACAATACATGAGAAGACAAACAGACACGAACAACTCACTTCCCTCCTCCCAAAACTGTGTTGGCGCCTGACTGTGTGGCCCTACCCTCTCTCGCTGAAATCACTCTTCCTCTGTTAAAAAAAGAAAAACTACTCAGCTGCTATTACTGTAAAATGCTAGGGTAACACTTTGGACCTAAATTCCAGCTCTAGATATTTGAGCAAGTTTTGTTTCACTTTCATTTTCTCTTGAGGAGGAAACTTACTGACTTCAGAAACTCCCACACTTTTCCAAGCACCACAATGAGGATAACATTCATATAACACAGGAATAAAAAAATAAAACAACTACAGTCTGAATTTGCAAGAAGTGTGTAGTGACATTTATGCTGACAAATTGTTTTCATTTTGGTCCTGGCCCATCTTTAGGTCAAACATTTAAATGTCTTATTTTCTAGAATGACATTCCCATCATCCATAGCTGACCTTTTTTGTTTATTGGTAAATAGCAAATAATAAAATGCCAACATGCAAAATGCCACAACACTTCCTAAACATCCAAATGTTCAGCTTCTTTTGGTTATGATAGCATTCGGATATTATTTAGCTCAAGTTATTTCTTTGCCTTAGTGGCTTAGGATTTTGGGTGTAGTTTTTGTGTCGTTTTATTTAGTTGTCCCGTGAAATTGCAGGTTTCTCCAGGTTTTCATGTGGATTTTACCATTGATTACCTTTGCAATAAGCCATTTTTGCCTGAATATCTGTTAGTGTTGTGTCTATTTATCTTTCTACTGTTGGTTATCCTTTAAGCACTTTAACCTTTAATCTGACTTTATGGTTCCTACTTTAGTTAACTTTTAGCCGTAGAAAACAATACACTAGCGTTGCAATAGTATTATCGTAAAAAACAATCGGAGAAACAGTATCCCTGTACTTTGTGTCTACTTCAACAATCAATGTTAGGCCATAACAAAGGTGAAACGAGTTGTATGGACTGAGTTGGCAGGTAAATCTTAATTTATTGAAAATATACAGATCATGATCAAACATGATCAGGAAGGCATATAATGATAAAAGCTGATTTCTCTTTCATTTTGTTTAAAGGGATCTTCATCAAACCATTATTGCTTCTACATTGATTGGAGAGAGCATTTTTAAATGTTGGAGCTGGATATGACCAGTGAAAAGTTTACACATGGCTACCAAGCATTATCCACATACTCCACTTGCACTCACTGTAAGAATGCCATTAAAGAGAAGAATCCAAATTGAATGTTGATTATGTTGCTTTAAAAGGTTAGAAGTCCGTCACCAAATCAACAATGTCTTGGTGGTATTCTCTGAAATAAGGCATGTCGGAAGAACCGCTTTTCTTCCCTTCCTGTCTCTCCAACACACACATACACACACTTCTGCTCTCAATCTGCTTAGATCTGCAACATCTAACTGCCACTTAACCTCACTTTCTCTACTTACCCATCTGCTCGCTCCTTCAGCTTCCAATCCATCATGCAGCCGCGCCTCTAGCTCTTTGAAATGACTGTACTAGTCATGAACAACATTAACCCCCCATCATAACACACACACACACACGTATGTGATAGATGCCCCTTTACCTCTACTCAGGGTGCAATCTCAGCCTACTTCACCCCTGCATCAGCCTCTCAGTGTGCAGGCTGTTGTTTCTCTATTCTACTTTCCTTCCTTTATATGCGACATCGCTCCTCCATAAGAAGCCTCAGAGTGGTCCCATCATCTTTGGCCTTTTTATTTAATTCCCCTTTGAACCTTGTTGTTCTGTAGACTTTCTTGCACATACAGAAACACAGAGGTAAAATCCCAACCCAAGAATATATAACAATAAAACACAATTATGCACCCTTCTTTATTGTCTGTATGTGTAGACCGGGATTAAAGGATAAACAGGGAAAATAAACAAAACCACATTCTATGCATGTTTTTGTTCTTTCCGAGCCCATGTTGATATCAGTATTTATTTGAGTCTAGGTCTTCATGTGTGTGCGTTTGAGGAGAAGGTCTTTCTTGGGCAAAAATGCACCAGCTGCTATTCATGAGACTTTTTATGATGTTTTGTCTACCTGCAAATGTACTGTAACTCTTAACCACATAAAGCTGAGCAGGATCATCATGTACTGATGTGAAGAGAACTTTTAAAGCCTCCTGATATACTAACTTTAATATTTGTGTCATTTATAGAGGAGATAAGAGGTTAATTTTGCAGCTTTACACATGCATAATCAGACAAACTGCACAGGACTTTCCTGCATGTGGGGCTCACATGGAAACTACTACAGCTATAATAACACTATTGAAAGAATATACTGTGAAAATAACAAAGGTTGTGTTACCTGTAGCCCTCCCTCTTGGTTTTTTTCCTCCCTCTGACTCTTCCTGTACAATGTGCCTCTCCAGTGAAGTGGCTGCTCGTAGACTGTGATGCTGCTGACTCCATAACTGCTGTTGTGACTCCTCAGGGCTCTTATGTGCTGGAGAATCATATGGGGCTATATTGTGTGCAATTGTACAAGCACTTTTGGTCTATAACTCACAAGAAAAAGGCCTCAATCTTAGGAGACTCAAGGTTTTCATGCTCCAGAGCTAACCATGTTTGAGAGCATGTTTTTTTATATCAATCAAATAATTGTTATTTTTCCTGAAATAGCACCTGTATTTTTTTTTTTTCCACTGGAAATGTAGAAAATACCAGTGACTCAACTCATGAGCTATTGTTTGTTATCTTTAAAAGGAGGTCATTTTTAAGCATAGCAAACTGAATTAGGACCACACAAATGATATTGTAACCGTGAACACATTTTTAATGAAATCTTTTTGGGTATTAACTCATGCATTATCTCATTCAGATTTTTTACAGGTAACAAAATTATACTAATCCTGTCTAATCCCTCAAAAAATGACCATGAAGAAGTTTCACAGTGTGATTACCCCGCTGTCACTTGACAGAAGGTCCTGGGCCTCACTGCTCTCCTGTGTGTACACATGTGCTTTCCTCTGGGTAAACTGTGTGCTCAGTGCGCATGCTCGTGCTCTGCAGCGCTGCCTGTGTTGCACTCTCGTGTCCAGTCTGTTGTCAGATCGACGTTGGTGGCGGGGCGCGAGCTACCCAGAGGAGGAGAAAGTGAGGTGTTGGAGGGGTGATGTGTGTGTGTGTGTGTGTGTGTGTGGGGGGGGGGGGGGGATGAGGGGCGGTTACAGAGGAAAGATGGTAAAGATAGAAATGGACGGCGCGGACACAGTGTCTAATGGCAGATCCAGCTGAGAAAACAAAAATACCCGAGGAACACTAAAACCTGAGGGGTGAAAAATATGCGGCTCTGGCGGGAGGTCAGATTCCCCACCGTATCTAATTCAATTTTACAAACTGTAAGAAAACACGCTGCTGCTCTGTGAGCACTGCAAATATGTACGTTTTACACCTCAATGAAACTTTTTATTTTGGGGAAAGTTGGATAAGGAATATTTTGAACAGGATACTATGTCAATATTGCAAAAGTGAGATAAGAGTATAGCATTGTAAAATCGCATTTTTTTTAAAGCAATACATAACAGCATAGTAGGCCTATCTCAAAATGTTTTGTTTTTTTTCGTAAAAAATGGCCTACTTGCCTTTACAATTATCCTACGTTTTTTTTTTTTAGATAACATTGAGATTACATATTAAAGAGAAACTAGCCTACACGTATTTATAAAATAGCCTAACTAGAACGTCATCTGGCTGCAGTTGTCAAACTATAGGATAATAATGCAGGTATATGCCTACCTTTTCTCTATCTTTTTAGTGAGTTTGTGTAAGCTTAAAATCTTTATTGGATAGCCTTTTTTTCCCCCTGTATCTAGCAGTGGATGTATCCCTGCTATAAGGCAGCATGCAGAGACGTGATAGTAGGTTAATCGTGCTGGTGGTCTGCTCCGGCCTGCTAAAGACATTAGTGCTGCATTCTGGGAGAACGGGGAGTCCCATAGACAGCGCTCACTTCTCTAAATAAACATTAGTCTTAAAAAGTTTGGCCCCACGACCTCGGCGTGATCGCATTTCACTCTGGATAGTAAACTTCAATTTTATCGCGAGGTTTCTCCTACTTTTGAAAAACACACTTTCACGCTGAAAAAGATTAGATCAACAAGGTTTCATTTCCAACCTTTTTCTGAGGGAACAGGAGGCTGCAGTGTCCCTGGCGTGTCTTATAACACACCCAAGAAGGACTAAGGTAAACTTCAATCATTTTTTGGCCTAACCATTAGGCTACATTTCTACCATTGATTGTTATATTGTATTGCTTATCAGGAAAGCGGACAAATAACAATACTTGCATTTTCTCCCATTGATTGCACTGTGACACATGTTTTTTGTAATAAAAAAAAATCTACTATTTGATTTAAATGTATCTATTTTGTATATATGCAGTGGGTCTAAGAAAGAGAAAAACACATGCATATCCAAAAATTTATTTTCACGTTTTTCGCACAGAGCCTGAGTTTAATCCACGCTGGCATGTTTTTTTTTGTTTTGTTTTTTTGCACTTTTTTCTTGCACTCTTTTTTTCAGCCGCAAAATGCCTCGCACTGGTTCAAATGATTTCACTGAATCCTGGCTGTGAATCTGACGCGCGTGCAACAGAGGTCAAATAGAAGAAGCCATGCAGTGATCGCCCGCACCTTACTGAGCGTGTGAGAGAGACCAAACAGCAGCTGCGCCTCTCTACAACACACAAAAGTGCTGCACACTTGCCTTGCGTCCTAACAAAGCCAAGGCTATATGAGAGGAGCTGAGAAGACTCATGTTGCCTAACATGAGGTCCGTTGACTCTCAGGGGGACGTTGAAAGGCACCCATTAGGTCCCCATTTATAAATATATAGAAAGTAGGCTAAATGAATGCATGGTTTCTGCATTTAATGGTTTCAATGATCCGCGATGCTTTTACCCTGTAACATGTGTTGGAATTAAGGGGGGGGGGGGCTATACGGAAGATATCAGTTAACCTGAGACCACCTGAGCTCCAATGAATACAAGAAGATCAAAAGTCTTCCGAAGTTGTTGATCCAGCAGCTGATAGGAGATGGGAATCAAATACAAAGACAATCCAAAAATATGCCTACATAAAAAACGCAACATTAAAAACTACATTTGCTTTTGATTTGGAGGTTTTAATTGTATATCTGCTTTTTATGAGTTAATGTGACATGGTTCAGTTCTGAATACGCGCAAGCAGCTGTCCAAGCATTTAAGGCTATATAATCTCTTTTAAAGGACATGCCTATGTAATTTAAGGCTATGTGTTTTTACACAGTGGGGTAGGCTATGTCAAATACATGGCTGATCTAAT